CTCTATCTACTCTATCTACTCTATCTACTCTATCTACTCTATATACTCTATCTATTTTAATAGAACTCTCCTTTCTAAAGTAATATCTTTATCTAAAGTATCTCTATAACTCTATATATCTTATTATTCTAAATTATATCTTTAGTATATTTAATTATAGTCTTTAAATTTAATACTAGAAAGATAATATATAATAGAGAGTAGAGGTTTAAAATTAATTAGACTAGGAACTTAAATTAAATGGTACTATTGTAAGAATAGGGTTATTAGATAGTAGTATAGTTAGATAGAACAATAGGGTGTATTCTATTATAGAATAAATTACTACTGAACCCTTTCGGTAGGAATCTAAGAGTATATATATAAAGGGACGCCGATCTATCTAGTACATAACTATTTACCGCCCTTTACATTATCTTCTAACTCTATTAGCTAAGGTATATATAGATCGGGTTCTACCTAAGGCTAAGTTCTAATAATTATCCCTTCCCTCTAGAAAGCTACCCTTAGCGACCTAGATTATTATCTATCTCTATATCCCTATTCTAAGTCTTATAAGACCTTAGTTATTCTCTACGCTTCGTCTTAGATACTTACTAATATTTACTAATCTAAGATTTATATAAGCGTTTTCCTAACAAACTAAATTTTATCTATCTTAACTTCTTATATAGGTAAGATTACCTAATTAGGCCTAGCGTATCACGTAATATAATTAGATAAGCCCGGGTACTACCTATATTAAAATCTTTTCTTAGAAATATTCCTTTCTTTAAAAAACTTCTTAACTCTTTATAGAGTTTTTTAGATTATTAGGTATATCACCCGATTCTTATAGATATAGATTTATATAGATTTACTATAATTTAGTACGATTTACGTAATTTACTAATTTTTATACTATCCTTAGCTAGTAATAATATAATTCGTAATAATCTATATAAATTAGTAATAATTATAATATAGTTTCCTAAAATCTCGACGCTCTAAAGTAATCGGTATAGAAATAGGCGCCTTTAAATAATCTCTATCTTATATATATTACTAATATATTAAAAGCTATTAATCTACCCTAACCTAGGCCGGGCTCTAATAATCTAGCTATATATTATTATAGTTATCGCTTTCCATCATATATTACTCACAGTAGTACTAAATCTATAATATACAGTACTTACATAACTAAGAAGCGTTATTACTTATAGATATTTAAGTAAGTTCGAAGAACTTTACGTAGATTTACTTATATTAGTATAGATTACTACTAGGCCTCTAGTAACCCCTACTAATAAGAAGCGTGGTACTACCAATCGTAACACCTTAGAGAAGGCTTTCTATAAGCTATATACCTAAGGCAAGGGTTACACCTAGGAGTACGATTCTAATAAGATCCGTAAGGATTTATTAGAATCTACTATAGCTATTATTACCGCGATTACTAGGTAATATCGTTTTTCTTAAATCGTTATAGATTCTTACTAATATATATTAATCTCTATAATAGTACTAAAATCTCTACTACTTCGGACTTCTTTCTATATACCGGTAATATTAGAATTCCTAGAAAAGGTTCTAGTAAAAAGGCTAAGGTTCCTTCCTCGCGCGTACTAAAGAGCTATAAATTTAGGGAAGATAGCTCTAATCTAGAAGTTTCTATACTAAAGGTATATGGTTCTATACCGATTATTAAATCTTTTCGCTAATTTATATAATTCTTAGCATACCCGCGCCGGTCCATCCCTCTCCATCCCAGGTCCCGCCGCTCTATAGGTTTCTATAGAGGAGTTTATAGCTATAAGGCGCGCTATATAGAATTTACAGCATCAGAACGAAAGGCTAGAGACTTATATTATAAAGCTCTATACTATGCTAAATAAGAACTAGCGGAAGGAATTAGATATAACCATCGCGGTAATTAGTACTTCTACTTCTACTCTAACTTAATCGGTTTAGATCTATACTAATTAGTACTAATATATCTCTTTTATCTAGCGTTTTTAGTTTTTCAGTTTTAATTTTAAAGCGATCTTACTTCTTCTAGATAGATTAGTATAAGTTTATATAGATCTATATAGATCTTTATATTTTCTTTTAGCTTTCTTAATTTTATCTTTCTTTAATAATAACTTCTTTAATCTCTTTAGTAATCTATACCAATCTATACCAATCGGCACCGACTTTCAATGTCCATTTCTCTTAGTAAATCATTTTTCTAAGTCTCTTTTTTAGTTAAATTTTTAAAGTTCTAAGTTCAAACTTTCTAAGGAAGTTCCTTAATTCCTTAGAATGTTTTAAAGATCTATATCTCTTTTACCTTCTTCCTTTTAGGCGGCCGTTCTTAGCGCTAAACTATACTAAAAAATATCGAATTGCCGTACTTTAGTATAATTCTCTATAATTCCGCGGCTTCCTTTACTAATCGCTACTTATATACTAATATCGCTACTTTACTAATGTTTATTATAGGTTCCTAAGTATCTTTATTAGGATTATATCCTTTCTAATAAATTTTATATAGCTATATACTATCTTCGGCGCGTTACTAGCTAAGTATCTACTTAACTTCGTAGATATCTATACCTTCTTACGTAACTACT